TGGCAGAGGAGCATGGTGAAGGAACACTGCATAACTTATGACTTCCAGGAAGCAGAGTGATGGGAAAAGAGCTAGAGAGAAAGAAGCCTGGGACCAGATATAGTCCCCAAAGTCACATTCCAATGACCCACTCAGATATGTTCAGAAGGGTGCTTTACTAATCTGTCTCTCAAGCCAATCAAGTTGATAATCAAGGTTAATCATTAGATTTATTTATAGGTTTTGTTTTGTTTGAGGCTACTGTGAATGGGATTGTTTTCCTGATTTTTTCTCTGTTAATTCATTAATGGTGTATAGAAAAATTATTGAATTTTGTGTATTGATTTTGTGTGCTGCTACTATGTAGAACTTATCAGTTATAGAATATTTAGTGGAGTCTTTAGATTTTTCTAAGTATTGACTCATATAATCAGCAAATAGGAATGATTTGACTTACTCATTTCCCGTTTGCATACCTTTTATTTTTCTCTTACCTAATTACTGTGACTAAAATTTCAAGTACCATAAAATGGCTTGTCATTTTGGATGCCGAAGGCAAAGCCCCAAGCCTCACCCTTCCCAGGGAGCTCACTGAAGGTCTCTAGGATCCCTAGATTTCCTTGGTGTCAGGCTTGCCCCATGATCACAGCAGGAGGTGGACCACTGGGTCCTGGATCCCCAGGCAATTGATGGAGTGCACAGCTCTGATGACAACCCTATGGAGGCAGAATGCTGGCCTTCAGGACCAGGGTCCCCAGTTGAGGGTTTGCAGGCCTCTACCGCAAACCACAATGTCAGTGGAACATGGGATGCTGGTCCACACAGGCAATTGACTGAGGGTGTACGGCTTCAGCTGTGCACCACAATGTCAGTGGAACATGGGGCACTGGGACCAGAGACCTTAGGCACTTGATGTTGTATACCTGTCTCTTCTGGGCCTCAGGCATGAACCGTGATGTTGGTGGAACACAGGGCACCAGTCTGAGTTCCCCAGGTGGCCGACTGAGGGAGCGCAGGCCTCAGCCTTGACCCACAATGTCAGTAGAATGTAAAGTACCTGCTGGAGTTCCCCAGGTGGTTGACTGAGGGTGCCTGGGCCTCAGCCATGAACTCTCTTTTATTGTCGAGAGACAATTTTATCCTATATTGAATTCTTCAATGGCAGTTTAGGTTTTTTCTTTAAACACTTGGATTGTGTCATCCTGACATGCTAGGTTTTTGTTGAAAAGTCTTACAGGGAGTTTTCCTTACATATGACATATCACTTTTTTCTGTATTAAACAACTTTCCTGTTGCTAAAACATTCCTGACACCTGCAATTTAAAGGAAGAGAGCTTACTTGGCTCACCCTTGGCCCACAAGGGTTCAGTCCAGCAACATCTAGCTGGCAGTAAGGCAGAAGCATTAAAATGGAAAAGGATGTTGGTGCAAAGCTGCTTATTTTATATCATCTGGGAAGCAGAGCAGGAGAACAGTGCCAGAGAGGAAGGGACCAAGGCCTATATACAGTATCCAAGGTGATGCCTCAATGATCTACCTAGACACACTCAAAAGTAGGCTTTACTAATCTTCTGGGTGTTTCTCAATCCAGTTAAATTGGCATATCACAATTAACTGTCACAAATTTCCTTGTGAGAAATTCAAATGCTGAGATGTGAAACCAGTCACAGTGAAACTGGTAGGAAAAGCAGAAACACTCAACATAATCCCAGTGTCACAGGGTACACAGAATGAACCCCAAATGAACCCTAAATTTTAGCTTCTATGAAAGGAAGATTGCCATATTTCTCAACTGTTTCAGGAGCTGATAGTGTCTGGCATATGATACCCTGGAGACTGCAGAAAACAAGCATGTGGGCAAACAACATAGCTTCTGTCCTGAGTTCAACAAAGAGGGAGTTCAACAAAGAGGGAGTTCAACAAAGAGGGAGTGGTTGAAAATCTTGCCTTCTAGATTCTCCTTGGGGAGGGAAAATGTTGGACCATGCATGTAATATTTCAACTTTTTGAGAAGCTGTAGGCAGACATCTGTGTTTCCTGTCTAGGAGCACTGATGTAATTGGGCACACTCTAATTACTTGGGCATTTCTATGAACAAGACAGCACTTTAGACTAAAAGGAAAGTTTGAGTGACCTATAGAAACACTGGAAAGGGTGATTGGTGAGGGTTTTCTCTCATACATGACCAACTGAAGTAAGACTAAAGAAATGGCACTTTTTTCTTAATGCAGCATACATAGAATCAGAGAAAAAAATTTAAAGTGTGGGAGCTGGGTGTGGTGGCATATGCTTGTAATCCTAGCACTTGGGAGGCTGAGTCAGGAGGATTGCTGTGAGTTAGAGGCCAGCCTGGGCTACATAGTGAATTCATGGCCATGCTGGACTGCATAGTGAAACCCTGTCTCAAAAACGCAAAAATATAAACATGGGAAACACAACCTACACAAAAGAAAAAGGAAAACTCTAGAAATTGATTTTAACAAAGTGGAAATATATTAATTATACAGCAAGATTCAAAATACTCATGATTGAAAGACTCAATGAGTTCAGGGCAATAATCCATGAATGAAATAAACATTTCAAAGAAGAGGCAGAAATTTTAAAAAAGTGTTTTTAAAACTACAGTAAGACCCCTACTTATGAATAAGATTTGTTCTGGGAAAAGGTTCATAAGTCACTTTCACTAAGTCTGACTACACCTTTGACAGAAATATATAGTTAAAGTATAAAAAATCAAATACACATACACATACAAATACTGGAAGTCTTTGTCTGAAGTGCAATAAGTCAGACTAAAAAAGATATGAATCACTTTTTTCCCCTAATGAGAGGAGAAATGTCCCCAAGAGATTTTCTTGCCCCTTCTGGGTAGGTCTAGCTTATTTGGAATTGAATTAGTACTTGTAGAATTCTGCCTGGCTAGCACACTATACCCCTTGGCTTCTAAGTGTCCTGTGCTTACAAAGCTCAGGGCATAACTTCTTATCTTTCTATAATGTAGTAAATATTGCCCCCAGTTAGTTAAAAAAGTGGATTAGCTCTTCTTTAGTTCTGGGTAGAATGATTAGGTGAAATAAGAGGAAATGACAAAGAAATTACACTGGCATTTATTATTCATCAAGAAAATAAGTAAAATTCTTTCAGCGTAGAGCTAAGAACAATGTACTTGGGAAATGTCCAATTAGGAAAATCCTTATCAAAGAAGATTCTTGTTCCCTTCCCATGTAGAGAGCAAACTCTAATCATTGAACAACAATGCTGTCTTTGTTGATTTTGTCTAACAGTGACAACAAAATCAAAGTTGGACATTTGCTTTAATTACAAGTTAAACAAGTCAACAGGGTTTCTATTTAAAATATGGAGCATGTTGAGCTACTCATGGAATCTAGGGATACCTAAGGATTTATTTCAAGGGCACGGAAGGGATATATCTTGGAAAAGAATTCTTAGAGAAGGTGCACTATTTAGGAACTGGATATGAACTCACTTTATGCCAGATAAGAGATAGCCTCTTTGCTCCTAATAAGTAAATAATTATCTTTTTATTGTGAAAATAAATGTTTTGCTTATACCTGATCTCAAATTTTAAATTTCCTGTTGGGAGCTAACAATTGGTTCTTTGTACAAAATTTAAAATACAAAGCATAATTTAAAAGCATAGGAAATAAACAGGCCTGGGAATTGTAGACCTCAGCAGAAGTGAGAAGTAGGGAAACTTCTTAGGGGCTCTGACCTCTAACTATTAGCAGCATTTTCTACAAGGTCCTCAGAGAAGGCTCCCTCTTCTAGAATCAGCCTGCTCACTTATCCTTAAATTTTTGAAGGACAGTCATTTCAGATAGACTCATGTCACTCTCTGGACAAATACACATACACACACATACCCTTTTATATCTGTATCTGTACCTATATATCTCTATTTATCTATATATTTAATTTTACTTTTTAATAGTAAAGAAAACAAAAAATGACCATAATATTATCACACATTTAATTCTATTGATGTTTTGGAAAAGACAACTGTAAAGTCAGAAAATACAGAATAAAATACAAAAAGAAAACTTTAAAAGATACCCTCAACCACCTCACCATCCAGTATCTCTATGGGTTATTAATATTTTTGGTAAAAATCACTCTGCTTTCCAGGATTTGATTGTGATTTCCAGGAAAATAAAAATGGCAGAAGCTCTTAATTAAAGTTCATGAGCCCATAGGTAACCGTAGATGAGCTTTCAAGATCTGTGAATCCCCTTAAATTATGTCTAAAAGTGTGTGTGTGTGTGTGTGTGTGTGTGTGTGTGTGTGTGTGCACGCATGTGCGTGTGTGTGTGTGTATGCAACACAGAAACATACCTATATTTTTCTGAAGGAGGTATCTATCACTTACTTCATATTTTCAGGCAGGTGCTTGTGCCAATGAGCTATATCCCCAGCCCTCTTGCTTCATATTTTCAGAGGGCCTATGATCCCAAAAATATCATTAGAGTAAAGTATAGTGAGTCATTGTTATTCCTGAAAGTGAAAACATACTTAGGAGGTAGCATGAAGTAGTAAACAAGTCATAGGCTTTGGAAATAACAAGATATAGGTTCAGACCCTAGCTTTTCACTTCCTAAATGTGTAGTTTTGAGTGGCTTACTAAACTTCTCTGAGCCTGTTTCCTCTGTTTTTGTTGTAAAATATAGTTAACATCTAATAGATTCTTATAAGAGTAAAAGTAAATACTATAAGTACCCACCACACAGAAGCATTCAATAAATGTTAGTGATCATTTCCCTTTCCCTCCTTAATTGCAGAATAACTGAATTCATCAGAAAAGAGGACGTTTATGGATATAAGACTTTTGAAGTTCTTTCATGACAAGCGATAAGGGAAAAACTGTTTGGGAGGATGGAGCAGGGACAAAAAGTAATTTGCTGTCATATAAATGATAGCTGCAGGATCTTTGCAGGTCAATGTAATATTTGCCCAGTATACTCTTTGTCTTTTTCTTCTTCAACTATTCTTTGATTCTGAGACAGAAGCTGCAAGCTTATGATGAGCCATCAGAATAGGTCTGTACCTGCTCTCAGTTGGAGAATTTATTACTCAAGTATCTGGGAAGGGCTTTGATCAATCCTCTTGGCTTTATTGGTATTGATGGAGACTTAAATACCTTGATGAAGAATGGAACCATTTCCAGGGAAGGCCTCTGAGCTCAGGTGGATCAAGCAGAAAGCCAGTGTATAGACCTTTACCATAACTGCTGTAGGATCATGAGCAGCCTTAAAGGCCATAAATATATCTGGGTATTTGGACATCTCTGGAGCCATGGCCATCTCTGGAGATGCAGATATCTTTAGGGCCATTGACTTTTGTGAAGATAAAGGCATTTTTGGAGCTATGGGTTTCTCTGAAGATTTGAATATCTCTGATGTCACTAGTACTCTTGGAAACATGGATACTTTTGAGGCCAAGTGCTTCTTTAGAAATATTGGCATCTCCAGAGGCACAGGCTTCTCTGAGACCAGGTGCTTCTCTGGAAGTATGGATTTCTCTGACAGCATGGGCATCTGAGAAATACAAGAATCTTCAAAATCACAAGTATCTCCAAGGCCAGCAACAAGCTGGCAGGCTTCTCCAAGCAACAACAAGTTAGCTACTCACTTTCTTCTTTGCTAGTGATACCTATAGTAGCCATAATGATTTCTTGTCCCACACAAGACTATTCTACTTTTCCAGTTGGTTTAAGTGGATGATATCCGGGCATCCCTCCCCCACTTAAAAATCTACAAGGAAACATAGGGCCTTTACTGATTAGGTGAGCAGTATATTCATGCTAAGCAGTCCATAGTGAAAGCAAGAGAAATAATTTTACTTTGCTAAAAAGGGATTTAACTTTAGAAACACTTCCTTTCAACTGAGATGCTTACTAGGCTGGTTCCACTACATTTTCCTTAATGACCAACCTCCCTGTTTCTCCACCCTCACTGATCTAGCTTGAGACTAATGTAAAAATATTATCACAGTGGAAAATTACAGCCCTGTTAAAAGGATGTAGAGATGGTATACAGCAGATAAATTAATTGCAGAACGTTGTAAATGAAAATTTACTCCCAGATATGCTTAGTCATGAGATGGTAGCTCACATTAACAATATAGACCTTAATATTTCTCTGAGAAATAAGTCAAAATCATCTGTAATTATCAGCATGAATGCATGTATCTTTGGAAGTTTAGAACATTTAAAGAAAGTTTTCTTAAGATATAACAAACAGTTGCTCACTCCAACCTGCACCCCAGTTTGGTCTTGTGATAACGCTCATTTAGCCATTCCTCTTTTACATAGCTAACACATAGATAAACTTGACTCCACTAAAGTATAAAATGTTTAATTTCAAATTTGTGGGATCTGAATTAGTATTGCTTGGCATTATCATCATCAGTCCAGAAAACAAGTGAAAATCGCAGTGTTCTTACTCTGCCCAAGATATACGCAATGTGTTTACCTAGGTTTTGTAAAATAGGCCCTTTAGGATAGTCTTATCTATACATAAACATAAAGTTTATGGATTTTCAAAAAACACAATAGTCACTACTTCTTAAATATGGTAGGTTTATTACCTTTTGCTAACATACACTTCTGCAAAACAATATTTTTAGAGCAGGTCTATCAATTCCTGAAGGAAAGTGTGTGTTCTTCCTAAACATGAGATTATTTTCCTCCTTGTGATTAATACACTTCCTGGTATTTCATCTTTCCTTTGACTGTGCAGTCATGATTTTACCACTTCTGTATGCTTTGGCAGTTTGGATCATGCTCTATGTCTGTGATGGCAAAATTTTTAGAGACTAAGTGACCAAAATGCAACCCAAAATTCACTTATTTATCACAAAGTGGCAACACTGTAATTAAAGCTGAATATCCAGTGCTTGGCTGCTAGGGCAACTTGGCTTTCCTGCTGACACAGAGGGCTCTATGTGCTAGCTATGGCACTCGTGCCATAGGTTTGCAATCATTGCTCTATGTATTATCAGCATTTCTAGAACTATTAATACCAACAGAATCCAGGTCCTCACCCACAATGTCTACTCTAAATGCTCTATGTCTGGTGTAAGCTAAAAGGTTGGAAGACTTAAAGAGCCACCTATGTTGACTACATCATCCAGTTGGGAACCATCTAAAGAATCATCCTATTAGGTGCTTTTCTTTGAAAGAGGTATCTTTTAATTTAGATGTATAATTTTTTTCTTTGGTGGTACTTGGGAATGAACCTAGGTCCTCTGCACTGAGCTATATCTCCAGCCCATTTTTAAATGTGAAACAGTCTCACTCCATTGCCCCAGCCTCCAAGAGTGCTAACTTTCACTTCCTAGCTTCCTTATGTATAGCTCCCCAGCCTCTTTTATGTTTTGAGACAAGGACTCACTAAGTTGTGCAGACTGGCTTCAAATTTGTGATACCCTTGCCTCAGCCTCCCTAGTAGCTGGGATTACAGATATGCACCACTAAGCCCAGTTTAGGTGTGTAATTTATGTGTAGGACAGAAAACCCAAAATAGATATTTTTTCTTTTTTATTCAGGATAACTTCTTGTTTTTTGAAGTAAGTTCTCTCTATGTAGTTTAGGCTGACTTGGACTCACTATGTAGCACAGGCTGGCCCCAAACTCACAGCAACCCTCCTGCCTGAGCCTCCCAAGTGCTGAGACTACAGTTGTGCACCACCACACCCAGCCAGCTTCTTGAGTTCTTAACCAGAACCCAAAACAACTCTTCTTTAGAGGAAGAACTCATTTTGCTTGTCTTCTACATATGTAAATAGACGTAATTTTTCTACTTACCTTCTTTTTGTAGCTGTATTAATTCTGAATTTTCGAAGAACTATAAACTATTTGGGTCTTTTCCATTCATAACTAGGGGCCATTTTTCTACTTTTCTTGATAGTTGCAATTATAGATTTTAAAGTATCAAAATGATCTTGTATTCTCTCTGATCCCCCTCTTCACAATTTGGTGCTTTGTTTATATAACCTAAATTATCAGAAGTTGCCACTTGTAGTTGTCATTTGACTTCTTCTTACTATTTGAAAAAATGGTATTTATGTACATCATTTCGATATGGAGGGCACGAAGAACCCTGGTTTTGTGAAAGAAGTTGTCAGATAGGATGACAGTACCAGTATGCCACAAGTGAACCTGTTCCAGGTCTTGTTTTATACCCAAGGCTTTCTCTCATATCACAGCCTGTATTTTGCATGGATTAACAAGCATAATACTTAAGATACAGAAAGTTGGTTTCTTTTTATGGGGAAGCAGTTATGGGGAAGACAAAAGGAAAATGGAAAACAACAGTTTTTGTAAATGCTGTAAAAAGCTAGTTTCTTACTTCAGATTTATTTCCAAACATTTTTAAAGAACAGTACTTAGGAGCTGGGCATTGTGGCACACGCCTGTAATCCCAGCACTCCAGAGGCTGAGGCAGAAGGACCGTTGGGAGTTTGAGACCAGCCTGGGCTACAAAGTGAGCTCATGGCCAGTCTGAACTGCATAGCGAGACCCTGTCTCAAAAAGACAAAAAAAAAAAAAAAAAACAAAAAACAGTACTTAGGACCCAAATGTATTTCTTAGATACAAAGAAAAATTAATCATTAATGAAATGTTTTTCAATACAACTTTAAAATCAGAAGTGATAAATAACAACTCTCGCATTTTCAAAAGCAAAAACAAAAATTTTTAAAAACTGCCTTATTCTGACGAGTATCTATGGCCATGGAATCAGTTTCAGCCCCAGGATCTATGTGGTCAGTATTTTTGGTGATATATATATATCCATATATATATATATAGATATAGATATATCTTATATTTAGTCTCATCACCAAACACCTTTCTTATTTTAAAGTTGGATTTAAAATCTGAGAAAAAAAAAAGGGTTTGGTGGAATGTAGGAATTTGTGCACTGGTAAAAACTATCTGCAGTCAGGAACCCACAATTGACAGGAAATTTCTGAATGTAAGTTTTCAGGAGTACTAGAAAATATAATCTATTCATGAATTTCATTTCATACTCTCATATAATACCTATGCTATAAAAGAAATGTGAACCCTTCCTCCACTGTCTAACCCTTCCAGTTCCTAGGAAATTCTGTTCTCATATGACTGCCGTACTCACATACGGAGGCATTTAACCACCTGTCACTGTCTCATCCACTAACCTGACCTCCGCTTCTTGGGTCACCGCTTATCTTCTAAATTTGCGTCAGGATCTATTCCTATGCTGGTGGCCATTCTCAGGTTCTTTATGAATTCCTTTTTTAAAAAAAATCATTATTTACTTAGTTGATGGGATGACAGATTTATCACAATGAACTTTAAAATCCTAAACAACAAACTTTAGTTACAGCTAATAGTCTGACTTTCCAAAGAAGAAATTCAGAACAGGGTTTGCTGTACAAAAGAAAACCTGGATCTCTGTCTAGAACTAACAAAGAAAAACTTTACTTTGGGTGCGTATATGTGGCACATGTGCCATTGGAAAGTAACCTTAGAAATTTTGTTCACTTACCACCAAGTCAGTTGTCATTGCCTGTCAACATGAATAGAACACCTTCAGTCTGAGACACATCTAGTACTTCATAGGAAATGAGATCCTTTCCAGAACACTTTTAGTCAAAAGAAATCTAAGCATCTTTAAAAGGTGCTTTTGAAATCAAATTCCTAAGTACTTAAGCTTGGCCTGAATTTAACATAAATGACTAGTAACTAATTAATAACTTGTCAGTTCTATGTTATATACTAGTTTTTATTAAACACAAAACATCTTTTTTAAAAATTTTATTTCACAGAAGAAAAAAGCAATGAAAACAATGATACAGAATTTCAAAAAAAATCATAGGAAATTAACAGTGGTTATTATATTACATATTGTTATCTTCAAAGTAGTTGCTCAGATTACAAGATATAAGCATGCAAAACTGATCTAACAGTATAAGCACAAACCGTTCTTTTAAATGATTAGAAGTTAGTAGT